AGGACAAGAAGATAGATGACTAGGTCAAAATATAGGTCAGCTGATAACAAAGTTCAATTTTACATCTTAAACTGTGCACGTGGTCCAAATTTCATAGCTGTACATTAAAGGACAAGAAAGTAGGCAACTATGTAAAAAAAAGGATGGCTGATATTTTACATCTAAAACTGTGCTTGTGGTCCAAATTTCATAGCTGTACATCAAAGGCCAAGAAATTGATCTAGGCCAGCTGATATTGAAGTTCAATTTTACATCTTAAACTGTGCATTTATGATTGAAGGTCAAGGTTATTCTGGTATACTTGAAGGTCTTGTCCCAAGGGTTGTTGTGGCCAGGTATTAAGACATTTAATTAATGCACCAAGAACTTAAATATTTATGATCAAGTAAATTTGCGAACGACAATGGCAACCCGACATGACTGTTACTATACCTCTACTTATCTTCTTTTTTTTTTTAAAGTAGAGCTAAAAATGAAGATTAAAAGGAAAAGTATAATTAAATTTTAATGGACTGTTCTAATTTCGAAACAATAATAATAATAATAATTTCCATTTCTCTATGAAATCACTTCTGGATATCTTGTCTTTATAAGCCCAGCTAGTAAAGTCAAGTTCAAGACAAATATTGTAGCTTCACCTGCAAAAATATAAAATTATTCATTCATGAAAAAAAAAACATGACCATAATTTAAGTACTGTGCTGCTATGAGAATGTGAGAATGACGTTGCATTTTTTTGTGTACACAAAAGTTTACAATCTTTGTCTGAATAGGTATAAGTTAAGTATAAGTATAACAGGTTCTGTAGAAGAAAATATAGTACAAGATAAACAAGAACTGTCGGAGGACAGTATTGGCTCGACTATTCAAAAAGTTGTCACAAGGGTGTTTTATTAAGTATAATAATGCTAATTACCTATGATTACATAAAATTGACGTTGAAAATGGGGAGAAAAATCAGCCTAAATGCAAGATAGAATTATGGATCTTGGTCAGTGACCTACAATTATGATTCTAAATGCATATATGTGAAGTTTTAAATAAATATCTTTAATAGTTATTGAGATATGTAAAACTTGCATGTAAACATTAACCAAGAGACTAAGTAGAAAAGGGAAGATGAATCAGCCTAAATGCGAGTAGAGTTATGGAACTTGGTCAGTGACATACAATTATGACTCTCCAATTATGACCCTAAGCACAATGTAAAGTTTCAAGTAAATATCTTTGAAAACCTTTAACCTTTAACCAAAATTTCTAAGTTTCAAAGGGGCAAATAATTCTGTAAATATTGCAGGCAGAGTTATGCAATTTTGCAAACTGATGTACATGGTTACTATAAAAAAGGATTGTAAATTTCAAATGAATATCTCAAGCAATAATTGAGATATTTGACTTTACAAAAAAACTTTAGCCAAAATTTCTAAGTTATAAAGGGGCATAATTCTGTAAATATTATAGACAGAGTTATCTAACTTGTCAATCTGATGTACATTGTTACTATAAATAAGTATTGTAAGTTTCAATTGAATATCTCAAGCAATAATTGAGATATTTGACTTTACAAAAAACTTTAACCAAAACTTCTAAGTTAAAAAGGGGCATAATTTTGTCAATATTGTAGGCAGAGTTATCCAACTTGTCAATCTGATGTACATTGTTACTATAAATAAGTATTGTAAGTTTCAACTGAATATCTAAAGCAATAATTGAGATATTTGAATTTACAAAAAACTTTAACCAACATAGACGCGGACGCCGGGGCGACTACAATAGCTCTCATATTCTTCGAATAGTCAAGCTAAAAATAGAATTTTAAATGTCTTAATGGCAAATTTTGTAAAATCATTAGGATGCAATTAAACCGACATCTTTAGGAGTTCGAGTATCACAAGTTGTCTAACTTAGAATTGGAAAATAAAAGTAATTTGTAATAGTATCTAATAATTTAAATATACCGGAAAATTATTTTTATCCTGTGTAGTATGCAGTGAGTCAAAGTACTTGTGCAGTGCACAAGTATTTCGTGCCAGGTGAAACAATTTGTGTACATTTATTCATTCCGTTTAGTATTCAGTATAATTTTTAGGTTGTACCAACTTGCCAGATATTACTTTGAAAATAAAGTGATATGAGAAGTTTATAGAAATTAACACAACACAAATCATTAAAGGAACTCCACTGAGGTTTATAAGCGTAAAACATGAATTTTAATTTTTTCACAGTCATATACATGAGCACTTAAAACATCAATATTTATAAAATATAACCAAAATTTTTAAAGAAATACATTAAAAATCATATGTTTGTGACATTCTCAGTCCGATTTATGTGTAAAGCGTTTTCAATTTTGGGTCAATTTTCACTATTATAATAATTATTCTGGAAAAATGGAGCAAGCTAAGAATCTGAAATTTTGCACATGTAAGTAATTAGTATAGATCTGCATCAAATGGAGTAATAATCTCAAAAAAATATTTCCAGTTCCGTCATGTCAAAAAAACCTCAGTGGAGTCCCTTTAATAGTCTTTTGAAATTAACACAACACTAAATATTTCTTTAGGTGAAGAAAAAAATAACATGTTTATTTACAGAAACTATTTTTCGCGAGAAAAAAAAAAAGAGTACAATTCAGACCAGTCTTGCATTGATACGTATTTAACTAGAACATTAACTGGCAACCATACCTAGTATGTTACGCTGACAGGTGATTAATTTGTCAATATTTTAATTTATATCGCAAGCCTGCATGCCTTAAGATGGAAAATCACAATTTGATAACTGTTTTACTGTTATAGTTGACTTGCCCGCTGCGTAACTAAATACTTATCCTAAACATAAGTGTCTTTAAAAAGATACTTGAACTATGTCAAAAAGCTTTTACATGAACAGGTTATTTTGAATTTTATTGTAGCAGTTAATTTGTAGATATAGGGAACACTGCGAATGGAACTGTAACTGCATGTTGTGTTCCATTAAGTATTATACCTACTGTAGAAGATGCAGATAATATACTGTGTGTACCAGAAAAATTTGAAAATTTACAATTTTTATTTGGTGTCTAATTTGGTATGCACATGACTGCATGTGTTACCGGGATCATTATATACATGTGTAACATTATGTAGCAAATCTCATTGCTTTGGAAAAAACTTATTGAATGTAATTTATAACTCTTGAATAAGCAATTCCGCACAGACTGCAGAATAGTCAGAATGAATGAAAAAATGTGGTAGTTATTATAACAGCGTGGGCATTTAATTATTAAAGAAATAGTGTTCCACCAGAATACCTTAGTAAGTACAGGACATTATTATTGTTATGCCTTAAAATTACATTTAAAGTGATATTATGCTAATCCTTATATTATAAATGTTAATGTTGAGTGCTGTAACGTGGAAAAAGTCATAATAACTTTACATTTTGTCCCAATGTTTTCAATTGATCATTTTGATATAATCATAATCATTAATGAGGTTGACACTAAATATGTTAGTATTCATCCGTAGCTGTTCTACAGAAATTAGAAACATTCTACGGTCGCTATTGCTCCCGTCAAACTCGAAGTTTCTAATTTCTGTAGAACAGCACGGATGTCACATAAAAGTTGGGCAATCTTTTTTATATTAAGCAATTTTAATTTCACCCTAATCATTTTGTTTGTCATTATAAATTATTGGTCAATCCATGTTTCATTAATTGATCATTTAGAGATTGTAACATTGAATACCGCTAATTCAGCTCAACTTCGACATTAAAAAATGAGCATACTGTCACAGGTCTAAATGTGTTTCCTAGAAAAGTTGGGATTATGTTTGATCTGCAAATTAAGTCATTGAATAAAATGAGTGATTTAGAGTATAATCAATCAATAGTATCTTGACCAGTTGCCCTTATCTGGAACTGATTATAAAGTTTTCCTGACTGACCACCCACTGTTATAAAATCATATCACAACAAATCCTTTAAATACAATGCAGCTAATGTTAACTCAAGCAGGGATTTTTTTGGCTTATTTTATAGCCGTTATTGGGTCATATTCCCAATTGAAAATAGTATATTATTTTCCCAATCCACATAAAAAATTCCCAATTGAAAGTTACAAAATTAAAGTATTGAATCTTTGCAAATAAGGGCTTCGATCTTCACTGTAATAGTGCTTAAATAATTGAAGATGCCACCATAGACAGAAATTATTTGCATCCATTTATTTTAATCACTTTAAAATTTCAGTCATGCTTTTTTTCACCATGTGTCGTGTTCCTAAAATCCTGGAAAAAATCCCTGTAACTTTTGTCTCTTTTGTGTGCATTCCATTAATGATCAATAAATTCACTCCTGCTACATGCACAGTCTAAATAACCCATATGATTATAATCATTAAAGTATACTTTTTAATACAAATTAGTGTTTGAAATTATTTTCTTTAAAGATTAATTTTCATTATATTTCATCTTTGCCAAATTCCTTAAAGTTTTTATTTAAAGCTAAACCTTTTCTATATAAAACTATTTTTTTTCACACTGATTTTAGGCTAAAATAGGCATGAACGAAGCCAAAAAAATGAGAATTTTATAGAAAGATAGACTTTTCAGTAGTTTCAGACTTTTCAGTAATTGCAATTAAATGTTAATTTCCCGTGATATTATGTAATGAAGAGACAGTTACATACCAGCCACTTACCTTCAAAAAATGAAGATCTTCTTCAGGGCGGACACAGACCTGTAGGGCCTACTAGCGCCGATTTCCTCATCGTTATTGTACAAAGTATCCGAATCAATATCTTCTTTCAAACGCCACATCATCTTCACGTTTTAATTTTAAAATTTTTAAAATAAAATATGACCTATACATACTGTTATTGTGCCCGTTATTGTGTGCGTATCACATCCAAGGCGAGTGTGATCAGTACATTAGCAGACGATGACCCAGATTACTGGACGATTCAATGTTTACGTTTTTATTGGGGTGTTAGCTCTACAACTTTTAAATCATTGTACAGTTTGATTACAATTTTAGGAACATCTAGTGTATTTTTATGAATGAATACATTTGAATTTTTTATTTTAGTACTTAAATGTTCAATTATGATATAAATAGCGGGAATTTACTGATGAGTTTGCCGTGTATGGTGACTACCCCTAAATTATCGTGTCGATTCGTCCGTCGCCGCATAAACGCTTTGAACTTTTAGCGGGTGCCAAGTAATTAGTGCCTGTATGAGATGAAAGCGGTTTGGAGACCCAATCATACAGCAGTTAATTTTCAACAAATTTTCAAAATATCTGCTTGTTTTATATACTAGTAGACATTTAGTGAAGTTTATTCTCGTGCATGATGTCCTTTATGCAGTAGATCTATGTGGCGGGCAGTTTGTTGGTAAGTGTTTCTTTTTGCTTTTAACTGTAGTTGTTATTGTACATGTGATTTGACCTTAATTTTAATTTGAAACTAAAGGTCAAATTTGTGAATTTCTCAGCAATAAAATGGCAGTCTATGCCTGCTGCACATGAGTAAATAAATGGACCAAATATATTAGCATCTAAGTCAAATAATCAAGTTAAACAAGAAGATATTTGCTTTTTAATGTACCTTAGGGAAGGTGCCTGTAACATTATTTTTTTAAAGAAAGGATAACTTTGGATACTTTTATTTTCAAAATATTACATTGATCTTTGGGGTAGGGGATTGATGTTTCAAAGTTATGCTTAAAGTCTGCATATCTTAAGGTGACAACAGACACTTTCCGTGGTACTCACATAAATGTCATTTAAACCAACTTATTTTAGTAATAATTGTTATTTATTTAATCTTTGTGCATTAAATGTCGTTGATCATCATAAAAAATAACATATTTGAAAATAATGCCTTTGTAAATGATTGAATTTTAATAAAAATCCTAAAATTTTAAATCGTCATATCAAAGTTATTTTTTATTTTTTTGTCATCAAACTTTTGGAAAATAAACATACTTATAATATCTGGGGAACCGTGTCTCAAATTTTTTCTATCTTTTCTCAAAAAAATATAACGTAACGTCAAACATTTTATGCGACTTTTTTCACCATACATATTACGTAATTAAAGATAATAAAGTCGCTGATTGAGCAAACAAAAATCCCTGATACGGTTCCCTCCGTAAATGAATTCCCTTTCATGTGCTTTAAACCGCATGTTAATTGCTTGATTATTAAAAAAGTTATGCCGATTCAAAGTTAGTCCGACCCGCATCAAACGAAGTGTCATAAATCGGCTGTTCTCTCTCGGACCCCTACGTTTCACGCTAAATAATTGCATAATACACAAATATCGCACCAGAGAGGGTCACAAGTTGCGGTAACATACTCTAACAACATGTTATGACCCAGTGACATCTGACCAGTTAAAAAGTTGCTGATTAATATCAATTTATAACAGAAATATCTTCAAATCTTTACCTTCCGTCTGATATCGGTCGCACATGTCACGTGACTTTCGGTAAAATTTGAGGCACTCGGTGGGGGGAAATGGAACGTAGCGGGGTATTTAATTGTTTCACTTTTGAAGTTTATTATTATTATTATTATCATCATCGGCATTGTTATATTACACCAGTGTCACTCTGTCTGTGTATTCGTGTATGAAATTCCGTTAAAATATAAATTAAAATAACAAAAAACTGAGCTTCTGACGGTCTTTTAAAGTCCACGGTAGAACGGGATATTATATATTTTTTCCTCCAAATTGATATAAATGCTTAACATATTTTAATAGAAATAAAAGGTATCTCTCGATCATTATGATCTGACCTTCTTGACTTCTATGATCATGAAAATCATCTATGCACGGCATAGAGATCCAGTTTCCACTGGGATATACAATAAATTCCATAATTTGTTCCAGGTTTATTAGTACTGTGTTCGATTTACTGGCGAACAATTTATTCAAAGCATTCACTGATAATATACTCGTATTTTATTATCTTTTTTATTGATTCATAGAGAAATAATCATCCTTAGACAACCTAAAATGGTTTTGAAATTTGTCAGGGACACCTTAAATTACCACAAGTCATATAGGCGTTCACATAAAAAATGTTGTCTGTTTTGTTGTTGTTTTACTTGACATTGTTAGAAAACGAGGTTGAATGTAAAGCAAGCCCTTGAATACGTACAAAAGTCCATAAACTCAATGTAATATCTATCAGATTAACGGGACAGACAAATTATTTTCACACATTATGGATATTTTAGCATCAACCACGTGGTCGTGCGATTTGCCGCTATATATTTATGTTTCATACATTATGTTACGTACATTGGCCGACAATTTCTTATTTTATAAAAAAAAGGCTAAATAAAAGGTAGACGATATTCATAAAAGATGTACGGTATTTGTACGATACATGAATTACGGGTAGTATGGACCAGTATGGACCGGTAATTCACGCATATATGGAACTACCGATTTTCCTCATTGATGCCTCAACAGGGGGCGGAGCGTTATCGATAATTGACAGGTTACGCGAATAGCAGATAAAAATGGTACAGGTACCGTTTTAAAACGTTTAAAAACACATTTTTTGGACTAACTACTTCCAAAATTAAATCAAGAATGTGTTCAGAAAAGGTTGATAAATCTACTAAGCAAAAAATCTCATTTTAGGTATTTTCAGTGATAATTGACTCCGTTGTCACCTTAAAGTTTATTATAAGGAAATTATTATTTCTCTTTAAAAAAAAAAAAAAAAAAAAAATATTATGTATTCTGATAAATGTTACAAAAAGAAAATTTTGGAAAATTCATCTTAGATATAAAAATATTTGCTTTCTAATTTTCAGTATTTTCCCTTGCAAAAATGAAATTTTCAAACATGTTAGAAACGAAGAGAAAAAAACAAGGATAGGTACACCAAATCATTATACTTAAATCAAATATGCAAACACATTTCTTGTAAAACAGTAAAATTTATAGGGCTTTCTTATAAATGTATGTTTCTTGTCATATAATACAGAACTGAACTGTATCAGGGGGACGAATGTTAGATAATTGGGGGGGGGGGGGGGATGTTAGTTTGTTACACTAGACGTTCAAAGTTCATAGTTTATGCTTGCCTGTTTTTTTTGTTTTAAAATATCAAAATTTCTAAGAGTAAATAAATATGCTTTGTACAGTACTATAAATGTAAAATAATTGGACAAAGAATAAGAAAAATGTATAAATATACCCGACAATTAAAGCTGCGGTATCACTTACACCAGGCAGAGCCCAGGACCACCCCAGTAAGTTACTGGGATGATCGGGGGTAAAATTATTGTTGTGGTCACACTTACCCCGGCAGCACTACGGTAATTTCCAACTAACCACCCAGGATGCGTTCAGACAGAGCCTAGGTGACACTACGGTTTATGCCGGTGCTTTCCCTGATGATGCTGGGAGAGCCCCAGTTGACCTAGGCACTGAGCCCGGGTCAATCCAGACAGAGCCCATGACAATCCCGGTAGAACCCCGGTGGATTGAAAGCACGTGAAAATGATTACGTTGATATATAATTTTCATTTAATATAATATCTATTGTTCCAGAATAGTAATTCATGATGATTTTCGAATAGTCCTAAATATGCAAGATTGGACAGAAGGGAAATGGGGAAGGGTTTTAATACAAACAAGTGCTATAATCATCGCAATTTGTTGTGTTTCTTTTGAATTGAAACGGGCTAAAATTGCCGGGGCTCTGCTTGGATCAATCATAGATCTATCGTTATCCTCTGGGGCTCTGCAGGCATTCACCAGGGCTCTACCGGACCACCCCAGTGATATTAAATATTTTTTTCCATCCGGGCTCGAATGCCTGATGTACCCAGATCATTCCGGACGTTGCTGGCAGAGTTACGGATGTACTCTGGTTGTTCCAAATTGTACCCCGGTCGTTCCTGGATCAGCCCGGACGTCTTCCGGGCTCTGCCAGGATGTAAGTGAGACTGCAGCCGAAGGAGTTTCTTACTTTTCGTGTTTCACAATGAAAAGTTGTATTGGCTTAGTTTTCTTCCCGTTATTTTACATTTGAATGAACATTGAAATGTTTAGTTTTCTTCCAGTTATCTTACATTTGAAGGAACTTAGAAATGTTTGGAATAAAATAAGAACAAAATTGCTAAAAGAATGGTTGTTCCTAGATAATGCATTTACACTGTGTTAAAGATAGAATGTCATACCAGCGGTACCTTTCTATACATGAAATCATTTTCAAAATACTATAGTTATAGGATAAGATTTATCTTTGCAAATGATATGATACAGTGTGAAGTAAATGAGAATTTTTCAGATTGAAACATCCCAAACCAAAATGCATGCCTGCGACAAGCTTGCCGCAAGCTTGTCGCAAGCTTGCTGCAAGCTTACAGCTGAAATACAAGGTTGCTGCATGCTTGCAACAAGCTTGCGCAAGCTTGCGATGACTTTTGAAATATATTGCAAGCTTGTTTAAAATTCATGCAAGCTTGCAAACATTTGATGTAAGCTTGCAATGCCGCAAGCTTGCAATTAGTAGACACTTAGAAAATTTTTGTACAAATCTACACTTAGAAATTTCTTGTTAAAGTATAATGGAAACACTTAGAAAATTTTTGTCAAAAGTGTACACATTAAAAAAAAAAATTCCAAAAATGATAGTATCAGTGATAATTAACTAGTTTAAACTAGATTACCACGCTAAAGTTTATTATTAGTTATTAGTTATTTTATAAATTCAGCTCAGTATTGTAAATTTACGAAGAAAATATACAATCATCATTTATTTTAATGCAAGTTACTGTAAATGGTTTGAAATTTGACACTTTATACATTTCATGTAGTTGGAAAAGGGTATCTCAGAAAAAATGTCTATGCTAAAGACGTAAATGAATTGATTGCTCAAAATACATATTTATTATTGAAATAAATCTACATGAAGTTATGTACAATGAAATAATATCCATGTAATTACAGGCTTTATGTTGAACTATAAATTAATTAAAGTCTGTGATTAAATCATTCAGACACTATAATAATCAAGATTGGATTGCATTGCTTGCTATTTTTAAATTCTAAGATTTCATGTTTTTGGATAACAATAAATAAATAAATAAACAAAATAAAAACAGTGCATGAAATAATCTCATATATATTCTATATTAAATTAATCAATATATATTGCTTTTATTTAGGAAAATAAATACTACATCCACTGAGATTTTACCCTACACACATCAGAGCCTTGATAAAATTCATTGACCATCTGTGCATGACTAATTTACTCCCTGGTCATTCCGACAGATCAGGCTGTTCTGTTCCATGTGATTATTTTGGGGAGAGATAACATTATAAATTTTACATGCAGAATGTGTCTAGGAGGACATTGC